CTCAAGACCCAACTCCTCCCACCTCTCAAAGCCTTTGCTAACTTACCCTTCCTCCACGAAGCTTTCTAGAACCATCCAATTTGGAAACAAACTCGGCAGAATGCAAGTGCTGGACATGGGAGACTGGGTAGGTCAGATATAGCTCCTGCCCTCAAAGAGCTCATAGACGGCCAAGGGCAGAGAGCAGTGAAGGATTCAGTAGTACACCCGGGCTGTGCCCTGTGTTTATCAGAGTGCCGGGGGACCCAGCTGGCTTCTGGGATTCTTATTTATTTATTTATTTATTTATTTTCAATATATGAAATTTATTGTCAAATTGGTTTCCATACAACACCCAGTGCTCATCCCAAAAGGTGTCCTCCTCAATACCCATCACCCACCCTCCCCTCCCTCCCACCCCCCATCAACCCTCAGTTTGTTCTCAGTTTTTAACAGTCTCTTATGCTTTGGCTCTCTCCCACTCTAACCTCTTTTTTTTTTTTCCTTCCCCTCCCCCATGGGTTTCTGTTAAGTTTCTCAGGATCCACATAAGAGTGAAACCATATGGTATCTGTCTTTCTCTGTATGGCTTATTTCACTTAGCATCACACTCTCCAGTTCCATCCACGTTGCTACAAAAGGCCATTATTTCATTCTTTCTCATTGCCACGTAGTATTCCATTGTGTATATAAACCACAATTTCTTTATCCATTCATCAGTTGATGGACATTTAGGCTCTTTCCACAATTTGGCTATTGTTGAGGGTGCTGCTTTAAACATTGGGGTACAAGTGCCCCTATGCATCAGCACTCCTGTATCCCTTGGGTAAATTCCTAGCAGTGCTATTGCTGGGTCATAGGGTAGGTCTATTTTTAATTTTCTGAGGAACCTCCACACTGCTTTCCAGAGTGGCTGCACCAGTTTGCATTCCCACCAACAGTGCAAGAGGGTTCTCGGGATTCTAGAAACAGGAGTTTTAATTCTTTTATAACTTGCTCACAACTTTTCTGGGCCTCAGTTGTTTGGTCCCGAACTAGATACAGGATTTGGTTTTCAAGCTCCGCTCTGCGGACCTACGCCCTTGCTGCTTCCGGTTGAGTGCAGGGGGAAATGGGCAAGTGGAGGGGATGTAGAACGTGTGAGAATTCAGGCTCTCCTGCTCCCAACTTTGGCCAAACGAGCTCCACTTTTAACTGTGTCTTTTGCCTTATATAGCCAATTTCATATGAACGACGTTTGCAGGACTTTTAAGGTTTGAAAGCCACTAAAGCAGATGACCAAGGTAGCCATCCACGCTCATGGCACTCTGGACTCAAGCAGTCTCCACAAAATGGGTTGTGTGGCCATATATACTTGGAAAGGGCCTCTGGGCATATCAGGTTATTGGCAACTCACAGTGCTTGAGTACGCATGAGTACTGACGAATGTCTGACAACTCTCTAGGGGAGACGATTTCCATGGTGTAAATTTTCCCCACACAGCCAATTTCAAATCATCAGCGTGAAGTCTCTGAATACAGAGTTGGGAAGAGATGGGCATTGACAGGCTCAGGAGCTGGCTTTGGTACATCCTGTTCCGAACCTAGACCTTAAGAAGCCTTCTGGGGTTTCGCTTGCCCTTGGGTAATTGTGCCTCTGTCAGTAGATGTTCAAGCAATGCTCCTGTTCCAGGGGACGAGGCATATGAGCGAGAGCTGAGCTGCGTCAGTGATCCCAGCCTAGGCAAGCCCCCCTCAGCTGATATGCGGACTTCTGAGAGAAATAAATGCTGGTTGTATGCTTGGGGGATCTTGTGGGTTTTGCTAGACAGCAGTTTGGGGCTACAGTTATCCTCTTCAGAAATTGGTACCTAAATCGGAGATGGCTATTAACAAAGTCCAAAAATATGTCGCATAGGTTTGGGACTGGACAGTGAGGAAATTTAGAAGAGGTTGGAAAAATGGCCAGAAAAAATGGTGACCTGTGTGCAACGTGGTGAAGAAATATTTGGTAAAATTATTGCCTATGGTCATTTGGGAGGGAGAAAGCCTTCCTAGGAATTTGTGGAATTTGGCAGGCTGGTTTCCAGGCAGAAGGCTGCAAACATGAGCTTTTCTGAGCTGTAAATGATAAGGTACTACAAGTAAGAGAGGAGTTCAGAAAGGACCCGGCCAATTAAAAGCGGAATTTAGAGAATGAAATTATTTCTCACCTCCAGTCTCTTCAGCCCCTAAGATCTTCAAATTAAGATTTGGTTTGGGATGGGGGCAGATACCGAATCCAGGGCAGTTCCAAGTGAAATATGGCGTCGGAATAAAGACGAAGTCAGGGATGTGTCCTTTGATTTTAATGCCCTTTGTCTTATAGTCCTTGGAAGGAACGAGACGACTCTAGAATACCTTTCTAGGGTGACAACAGGGTACCTAGAAACCTTCGGGGCATGGCCCCACATAGCACGACATGAGGTACCAGTCATCAAACGAAGGGTGAGGCACGTCACCAGAGGGACACAGGCGTGGCTTTTGGCAGAGAGTGGCCTGGAATCAAGTGTGCAGAAAACCCACAAGAGAGAGCTGAATGGGCAAATGCGAGGAATAAATAAAGAAGGTGTTGGAAATGTAAAGGATCTCAGGCTCCTCAACTTACTTCACACAGGAAGAGATTGAAGGGTCCCTCTGCTCTCCCAGAAGGCATGCTTCCCAATGGCCTCTTCAGAAGCTGAAGGGTTGTTGCAAAAGGAAGAACACCCCAATGGTGGAAGCCAGAGCTGTGGTGCACAATGGACTGGGGAGCCATTCGGGGAACATTCCACCTGGTGGGGGCACCGGCAACACTTGCCCAGCAGGTGTCAGATACTGTGGACCAATGACTGAGTGGTAACTGCAGTGACTCTAGGTCTGGGCCACCGCCGTATGCTGGGAGGGTGTATGTGTGGTGTGGGCTGAGAGCTTCTTCTTAGTTCCTAAGTCTCTGGGTCAAGAGCCACATCCAAAACAGGTGTAGATCACAAGATCCCTGACTTTGAGCCTGACGATTGATTGGATAGACTTTGGGAGGTCTGGGATGAGTATATTCTACATGTGGGAGAGGTATGGATCACAGCCTTGATGAGGGTAGACTGCGGTGAATTATATATTGTTTTTTTTTTTTAAGTTTATTTATTTATTTTGAGAGAGAGAGAGTGATAGAGAGAGAGCAGGGGAGGGACGGAGAGAGGAAGAGAATCCCAAGCAGGCTCCACACTGTCCACGTGGAGCCCGACGTGGGGCTCAAACTCCGAACCGTGAGATCATGACCTGAGCCAAAACCAAGAGTTGGGGCTTAACCGACTGAGCCGCCCAGGTGCCCCTGAATTACGTATTATTGAGAAATATTTGCTCTCTCTCTCCCTTCCGCAGAAGGAGAGCACCTGCCGATGTCACTGACGATGGGTTTGGCCACGTGACTTGCTTTGGCCAGAAGAATGAGGTGGTCCATGGTGTACTGTGAGCAGAGGCCGAAAGAAGACTGTCACTTTCCTGTTTATTTTCTTGTGCACCTGCTGTTACTACAAGAAGGCAATGGCCAGGCCAGCATCCTGGCCCTAGGAGAAGGGTTAGAGCCACGTGAGGCAGATACGTGCTTCCCCGGCCAAGCTGACTGGATTAGCTTCCCGCAGCTGATGCACAGAAGTGCCTGGCCCAGCCCAACCTGGATCAGCCAACCCTCAGTTGGCCCAGAGGCTTATTGTGCAGAAGCTTCGCGGGTATTGGTATACAGCATGCTTCCGGCCATAGTGAACTGATGGGGACATGGGGCTCATTGAATGGCCAAGATGCACTTCTTAGTGCTGCGACTCATCAAGTCTCAGGCAGCACTGAATAACTTCGGACCCCTCCCCCCAGAGCAGGGCAGAGCTGCTTCCAGAGACTTCCCACGTAGTGAAGCAGAGAAGGTACGAGATAAGCTCTGAAGGAGGCAGAGTTAGGGCCCAGCCAGGCATGCTTGGCTCCTCTTCCCGAGGGTGCAGTCAGCTAAGTGAGTGTTCCCTGGGGAGGAGTGAGGCCGGGAGTGTGACTCTGGCTGTAGTCTTTCCATCAGGAAACTCCGGCCAGACACACAGGGAAGACTTTGGGGTGCCCCGTAGAAAGGCAGCCTGCTAAATTCTATTTTCCTTGGGGGCTTCCTACCTTCTTTACCAGACAGCCTTTCTTTAGTCCACTCGGTTCCAAGCCGCAGAGCCGAATGCCCTCCAGATGGCTTTGGCTCTGGACTCTGTGAGCTGGGTGTCAAGGTTTTTCTCATAGAGAGAAGGAAGTTCAGAGGCCCAGAGTACCCAGCCCTACAGAAGGTGACTTCTACTCTCTCCAACCCAGCCTTAGGCCCTCCTCTTCATTCTTCTGTCCCAGAAATCATCTCAGACCGCATGCCTTACGCACTGGCCCCCTGAGGTTCTCTGTAGTGGCCTGGCCGCCGCTTAATGGTTGACTGCTGGCTTGCTAGATCAGAGTGCTCCCTGTGCCCCTGTCAGGGTCACTTCCTGGGCTGAGTTCCTGTTCATGACTGCTGCCCACAGGGCCCATCGCCCAAGGCTGGCTGCTGGGTATATGGGGCTCCACCTGCCTGTCCTTTCTCCTTGTGCCTGCACCAGAGCACAGGGGGGTGCTGATCTTCTCCCCCGACCCCCACCCTGACTCAAATGTGCTCATCAGATTGCCTGTCAAGGAGGGAATCCTGACGTGAGGACTGCTTGGGGCGAGTGCTTGGAAATGTGCCTGGAACATGGTTCTCAGCAAACCAACCTAGATGTTCAGATCAGCTCGCTGGAAGGAAAGCCAGAGAGGCACTGTAAATCGTCAAACCCTGCCCACCCCTCGCCCCCAGAGACAACCAACAAACAGCCAGTAAATGCCTCAGCATTAAACATTTCTTGGTGAAGGCGGGACAGTCAATTTTGACACTGTTGTGAAAAAAATACAGCCTAGTTTCTGTTCAAATGCACCAAATTTACTGCCCGGGTTCTCATTAACTACTGTCAAGGCAAAGCAGATAGACAAAATAAATTATGAAAAAATTACTTTTTTAATGTACAAAAAGACTTATTTACAAGTTGAGTGTGTCATCTCAATTCATAGCATGTAGAAAAAGCTAAATATTTTGGAGATATAAATTTGGCTGGATGATTCACCTACAGTATTTTCAGGGACGACGCCTTCTGTACAGGTTATACACAGGCTGGGGACGGCTAGTGAAATCCTAGCTCAGGGAGTGAACGAACACCACCACGGAGCCCACGCCCTCGGAGGGGTCCCAGGGCTGTTATTTGGACTTGGCTTTGTCTCTGGACCCTAACAAAGCGTCTGATGTTCTGGATGCAGAGGGCCCAGGGAAAATCTTGGCCCTGCCGTGGCCGAGGCCAGGGTCACGGTTATCATCAGGCTCACAGTGGTGTGGTTGGTTTTGGCCAGGTCGCCACAAATTCAGCGTGGGAAAGGTGTGGGGGTGTGTGTATGTGTGTGTGGTGGGGGGAGGGGGGAGGTATCCATTCGCCCTACAGTATGTTCAGGAACGATGTCTTCTGATACCAGTCCCAAGTTCCACTTCCAGGTGGGGCTTGTTCACAGCGAACAGGAAAATTCAGGGATGGTCCCTCAGAGTCCCAGGAAACAACCCCTTCACCCACTCAGCCCCACCAAAAACAGGATGCAGGTCATCGTGCTCTGCGGAATGAACAGGACAGAGGGGAGGGAACCCAGAAGACCCCGGGACGTCATGTTGTACCTTGGCACAGACCACTGGGCTGCAGGTAAGCGGACAACACAGCCTGGGGGAGACTGGGCAGAGGCCGCCATCAAAGTCCTGGGGTTTTCCGTGGCAAAGTGGGCGGACAGTGCATCGGAGAAACAGGATTGGGTAAACATACGACTTCCTCTTCCTATGGGAGATCTCCAGGGTGGCCTGAGGCCGGGTCCCTGGCGCTCTCCCACTTTCTGGAGGTCCCGTGCCAGGTGTCGGCTCACCTGGGTCCATCCATAGCCCATAGCAGCTCCAGCCACCCCGAGGTATTTAGAAGTGTTCTTTCCAGGAAGGGCTACATTCTACATGCATGAACACTGTAAACACGGTCTGGAGAGGCTAGGGCAGCTTCTGGGCTTGCCCCAAGCACTACAATTTTTCTTTTTTTCTGGCAATACTTCCATTCTTTAGTCATTCGTATACACTTGAACAGCCTGCCCGTCGCAAACTTGGCTTTGCGGGGTAGAGATGCCAGCTCTACCAGACCTGGAATCAGGACGTGCTTCCAAATCATCCAGGTAAAAATCTGTTTTCTTCCTCTGTGGCACAGGGATGCGAGAGGCCTCAAGAAGTAAGCTTCGTAGAAGAATTCCAGTGGGCCAGGAATTCCTTTACCTTGCAGGTACGGGAACGAGAAACTTCTCCTCCTGGATTAGAATATCCAGTATGGCTTTCGGATTCAAACCCAAATGTGGTTCCCTCTACCCTCTTTCCTCATGTACTCGGAAAGCCTTTGGCCAGCGTAATCCCTCATTAGCCAAATGACAGAGGTGAAGAAGCCAGAACAATTTGGTCCTATAAACACCAAAGGCTGGGAAGCACTGTGCAAACGAGGTTTTCGCTCCTGCCTTGCCTTTCTTGTTGAGACTTTTTAAAGTGTTCTGAAAAGCCATCCCGAAGACGACCAGACAGGTTGCACACGAAGCTGCCCTTAAAGCATTTGTGGTCCGGACCGGCCATTGGCAAAACGCCCTCAGACCTATTTAATACTTTTTTTTTGGAAAAAGACAAACTAGAACTCCCGTGCTCTGGGAAATGAAGGTTCCTCCGGCTCCACAGAGCGCCAGGGGCTGGGAACTTAGGTCATCATGTTCAGGAACTTGCTCTCCTCTGCCAGGCTGGTGAGCATGGAGCTCATGTCCCCAACCGCCATGTTGCTGATGCCCGTGGGGATGGAGGGCAGAGTCAGGGAGTTCCGGGGGGTGGTGAGGCAGGAGGAGTTCTGGGAGAGGCTGTGGAGGAGGCTGGGACTCAGGGTGCCTGAGAGCAAGCTCGAGTGATCGCCCTCATCCATGATGGCATCAAAATCAATCTGGGGAGCCTCCAGTAGCTGGGAGTCCACAGTGCTGGACACGTGGTTGACCCCTGGAGAGGGCAAGGGCTGGGGCTGGATGCTGTCGGGGCAGGCCTGTGGCGGCGGTGGCTGGGGCCGCATGACCTGGCAGCCTGCGTGGTTCTCCAGGCCTCCGTTCTGTTCATACATGTGGATCTGGCCGTAGTAGTACAGCATGCTGTGGTCCGGGACCCCACCCGTGTCCTGCGGGGGGGGGCTGGGGAGGCCGGGACACCACGCCGCCCATTGCTCCCTTGGGCGCATCTGCCATCTCCTGAGGGGCCGACACAGCAGCCATGGCGTGGCCGGTGGCTCTGGCGTAGGCCAGCTGCACCCCGGCACGCACCCCCCGGTGGCAGCCGGCGGGGCTGGGCTCGGCGGGAGGCCGGGGTTGAACTAGGCCAAAGCTGGACCCGGCTACCCCCGCGGTGCCCTGCTGGGGTTCCATGAAGCCAGGTTGCTGGGCAGGTAGAAGGTTGGGGCCTTGGCGGTAGCTCTCCTGGCTTATGGGGTTTGCCAGGTGATGGCTCTGCTGTGGGTAGCTCTGGGTGGAGTGAAGCGGAGGCATCCCGGCCAGGGCTGAATTGGTGATTCCGAGTTCCCTGCGGCTGCTGCCCATCATGCTGGCTTCGGGAGCGATTTCCATTTGCTGGGGGAGCCCCAAGTGGACTGGCTTGGCTGCCATGTTGTTACAGGACGGGGGGTACTGGTTCAAGGTCCCACCCGTGGCACTGGGACTCAGCTGGGGGTGCGCCTGGCCGTAATTGGTGTGGGGGCTCACGGTGGTGGTCATATTGGAACACTGACCACCTGTCCCTGGCTGCCGCAGCTGCTGCATGTAATTTATCCTAGGCACCGAGGGGCCTCCCCCGCAGGGCTGAAAGTGTCCCTGCCCGCTGTCCAGGGCTCCCGGGCTCAGCTGCAGGCCTTGTGGACTATAGCCCGGGTACTGGCTGAAGGCCGGCTTCTGCTGCACCACAGCCAGGTTGCCCTGCGAAAAGGGTGAAGGCTTCGCCTGGCTGGCCAGGGCGTCCATGGTGCCGGAGCTCACCTCATTCCACTGCACAGGCATGTTGTTTTTGTTCAGGCTGGAGGGGGGCCCGTAGCCCAGCTGGCAGCCTCCCAGCACAGGGGCGGAGGGGCCCACATTGGAGTCCGCAGCCACCATCCTGCGGGGGCCGTGCAGCCCCGGGCTGGGCAGTTTGGGGTTCTCAGAGAAGCAGGTGCTTTCGGGGGGATAGGCCTGTGAGGGGCTGTCGTCCAGGGCACCGCCCGCGTGCGCCTTGATGTACTGTACCACGTCGTCCGGCAGCACGAGGTCGTCCTCGGGCAGCATGAGGCCCACCTCGGGCCCGGCGCTGTCCGCTCCCACCGCCAAGGCCTCCGTGGCCACGTGCTCGCTGATGCTGGGCGGCCGCGGGGAGTAGGCGCCTCGGGCCAGGCCGCCGTCGGCGCTGGCGTGGCCGGGCAGGCGGAGACCTCGCCTGTCGGCGCAGGGCGGCAGCGGGGCCGGGTTCACGTCGTGGGCGCTGTGGAAGCGCTGCACCCGCGGCACAGCCAGGGCGTCGGGTCGCCTCACCG